ATATGAAGTATTTTATGTGCTATGTGTATAGGTATATGTTAGCTATTTACTTGAGATGTTGTTGAATGAAAGATCTATGCTTCTTTCTTTCAGATCTGAAACTTTTACCTTCAGATCTACACTTTATCTTTCAGATCTAAGACTTTTCTTTTAGATCTGAGACCTTTTTTTTCTTTCATTGATCTACTTTATCACCTCAGATCTAAGCTTTTTTTTCTCAATCTAAACTGTGTACTTTGAGATCTATGTTAGATGAAAGATCTGAACTTCTTTTCCTTCGGATCTGAACTTTTTTTCAGATCTAGAACCGTATATATATTTTATGCTTTGAAAGTCAAGCTGGATGAAAGATGTAAACATTATTTTTCAGATCTAGACTGTATAAATATTTTATGCTTTAAAAGTATGTTGGATGAAAGATGTAAGCTTTGTTTTACAGATCTAGACCATGTATGTAGTTTATATCTACAAATATGTTGGGTAGAACAATGGGTAGATGAAATAGATGATGTGCGTTAAAATGATGAGAGGCCTCGATGTTTACGATGTTTAAGATGATCCAGTCGTCTAGCAGAGTATAGATGACGACCACGGACTTTTCTAGGCAGTCCAGTGGAACGCTAGCAGGCTCGCAACCTGTAGGTGTTTTTGAAGATGTACTCCATCCCCCCCATGGTTGCCTTACGGACACATATGGCTGAGGAATCCCCTTAGCAGTAGTGCCCATCCCGATGAAATTCCTTAGGATAGGTCCCTTATAATAGATGCTTTAGGGACGTAAAGTGAGGATAACAGGAACGGGTAATCGGGTTAGCAATTTGATGAAAATAAATAATGAACTTATTATTGTGGGTTGAAAACCCTATATGCTCACCAGGCTCCCCAGCCTGACCCACTCAGTTTTCTTGTATTACAGGTAGTGGCAAAAGCATAGTTGGATGACTTGACGAGAGATTATGGATTTAAGACCAGATTGTGTTTTGTGGCCTAAGATGTTTATTTCTTTTTGGTTTATGCTGATGGTCTGTATCGATGATTAACATCTCGAGTTTTTGTAATGTAATGAAAATACATTTCTTTAAGAAATGCTTTGACAAAATTCATATCATATTTTGTTTTGGGAACAAATTCTGCAATACTTTTTTTAAGAAGTTACTCTGATTTTTATTAAAAAGCATAAACAAAATCGGTCTTTTCTGCCGTAAAAATGGGATGTCACAACATCCCCATTATTTTGGTTCATTATCTTTGTCTATGATGAGAACGAAATCAAGAGATTGAATCATTGTGAACTTCTTAAGGAACAGGGAAAATGTCATATTAGCCCAACGAACTTGTCAGGCTTATTTTAAAAGGTCACCCATCTATTTTTATATCAAAAAGGGAATGAAGTTGTAACGTCCCAAAATTTTGAGGTAAAATTTTCATTTTTAATTCAACCGAAATATAAATTATCTTTAAGTCAACATTCAATATCATTTTTCTAAATATTTAAAAGTACTTTATAAGAAAACAGTTATCGGATTACAATCCCAAAATCATCATAATGCGGAAACATGGGTGGATGCACTTCAATCAAGTCGGGCCCTTCCCTTTCGAACCGGAAGTACCTGAAACCATACCCATAAAAACCGTAAGCACAAAGCTTAGTGAATTCCCTAAAATACCCCATACCATACATAATAATCACATATTGGGCCCCCACCCTTCATCGGGCCTCGCCCGACATCGAGCCCCGCTCGATACACAGATCTTCCAGTCATCAAGCCCCGCCCGCTACACATATAAACATATGAACATATAATCATACGAACACATGCGATAATCACAAAGACAAGAGCATACAATACAGTCATCGAGCACCGCCCGGCATCGGGCCTTACCCGATAAGCATTCCATCACATAACACATGAAAGAATCACGCAGACATTTAGCATCCTAACATAATAAACCATGGGCATGAATTGGTACCTTCGACCAGCTATACACGGTGAGGAAACTCACCTCGATCCGCTGATAATCAAATGATTGTTCGGGCGGCTAAACGGGATAACCTCGCGCCAACTAACAATAAATACAAAACTTAATCAATAATTATCCAGAAACCCAAAACCTAAGGCCCACTCCATAAACCAACTTCTTAAAGGGTAAAAGTCCATTTTACCCTTTTCTTACTTGGCCCAAAACCAAGGCCCAACCCAATTGCACAAAAAGCCCAAAATGGCAACCCAAAGCCCAATATGGCCCGAATTCCTAATTGGGCCCAAAAACTATCATAGGACCAATTCTAAGAAGACTCATAGACAAACCATGGCCGAAAATCAGAAGTCCAATGGCCCAACAAGGCCCAAACCTTGAAAGGCCAAAAATGACCATTCGGGGGAGTACGCCCTGCGTACCAGAGACGTATGCCCCGCTTACTCAGCAATGAAGCACAAGGTACAAGAGATTGATGCACAAAACACCCATTACGCCGAGCGTACTCCTACGTACGCCCAACGTACCCATCAGAGACCAAAAATCCATATTAAGCTCTTAATGGTTAATACAATGACTTCCAAACTCAGATATGACCCTAATGAGATGTCTTAACACGTAAAGTTGGCAACTTTACTCCTTTGCATGGCTTAATGGGACCAAAACCTTAATAAAATCCATAGAAAACACCCAAATTCATGCATGGCCCAAAAGAATTCATCAAGTGGCATTTTTATGAACAGGGGACCTGCCAAGGGCCAAGATCCAACATTCTAAGCTCTTGGAGTAGCTCATACTCACAAGGATGACTCTAAGGACCAAAATTAACCCAAAATACTCCTTAAACTAGATCTAACACCTAGAGTCATCAAGATAGAAACTTTATACCTCAAAAAGGTAGATCAAGATGCAACAAGCCTGGATCCAAAGGCTTCAAGCAATCCCACACTTCTCCAAGAAGTTCCTTCTTCTTCTATGAACACCTAAAAGCATGAAATACCACCAAATGGGGGCTAGGGTTTCGTTTCTAGGGTTTAGAGGGATGGAGGATGCAGATAATAGGGTTTGGCGGTCAGTTAATGTCTTACTGGAGTATGCCATGCGTAATTCTGGTACGCCCAGCGTACTCCAAAGAACACCCACGATGCATCTGCTTAGTACGCCCAACGTACACCTATATACGCCCCGCATACTAGACTTAACACTAGTACGTCCAACGTACACTTATGTAGTTTATATCTACAAATATGTTGGGTAGAACAATGGGTAGATGAAATAGATGATGTGCGTTAAAATGATGAGAGGCCTCGATGTTTATGATGTTTAAGATGATCCAGTCGTCTAGCGGAGTATAGATGACGACCACAGACTTTTCTAGGCAATCCAGTGGAACGCTAGCAGGCTCGCAACATGTAGGTGTTTTTGAAGATGTACTCCATCCCCCCCATGGTTGCCTTACGGACACATATGGCTGAGGAATCCCCCTTAGCAGTAGTGCCCATCCCGATGAAATTCCTTAGGATAGGTCCCTTATAATAGATGCTTTAGGGACGTAAAGTGAGGATAACGGGAACGGGTAACCGGGTTAGCAATTTGATGAAAATAAATAATGAACTTGTTATTGTGGGTTGAAAACCCTATATGCTCACCAGACTCCCCAGCCTGACCCACTCAGTTTTCTTGTATTACAGGTAGTGGCAAAAGCATAGTTGGATGACTTGACGAGAGATTATGGATTTAAGACCAGATTGTGTTTTGTGGCCTAAGATGTTTATTTCTTTTTGGTTTATGCTTATGGTCTGTATCGATGATTGATATCCCGAGTTTTTGTAATGTAATGAAAATACATTTCTTTAAGAAATGCTTTGACAAAATTCATATCATATTTTGTTTTGGGAACAAATTCCGCAATACTTTTCTTAAGAAGTTACTCTGATTTTTATTAAAAAGCATAAACAAAATCGGTCTTTTTTGGCCGTAAAAATGGGGATGTCACAGTTGGTATCAGAGCATTAGTTTAAGCGAACTAGGAATTTGTAGGATTTCTAGACTTAAACTTAGAATGCTAAGCGACGATCGTGAGATGAGTGTCTTCCATATTTTAGACACGAGCACTAGTTTATTTTAGGAAAGATGCCTAAAATGCTTTTATGTGCTAAATGTTTTATGCTTTCCTTATGTGCTATTATTTGTTCGGATCTATGGTTTGTTGCCGACCGGATCTGGAAACCTTATGTGTTTAGGATTTTAAGTGTACGAGTACGATATTAGAACTAGCATGTAACGTTTCGAAGTGATTAGGGGACATTAAACGTCTATCGTGAATAAAGATCTAAATCCACCTAATTTGGTGTATAGATCGAAATGGCAAAGACTCGAAGTGGAGCTGGAAACGCAAAGGAAAACAGGAATCAGCGGCCTCGTCCCGAAGTGATTGAGCAGGTGCCGATAGTCGAAGTTGCACGTGAGCCAGTCACAATGGCTGGAGTTCAAGCCATGATTCGGGCTATGATGGCGGAACAGAGGGAAGAAATGAGACAACCGTTGCTGAATAACAGAAGTGAACCTTCAATGCATGTTGAACAACCAGAGCGAAGTAACGGAGAGTCTGAAGAAGGGAATAACAGCCGCACTGTCAGTCAGGTGGAACCCCGGTGATTAGGAGGAACAACGATTCGGAATAGGGCGTTACAGAAGTACGGATCTTAATGTTTAAAACGTCCTTAGTTAACAAGGTATCGGGTTATCCGGTACCTTGTGTGCCATGTAAGAACTTAATGGTCCAGGTTATTTGATAAAAATTCCACGTTTACTCAATTAAAATCGATAGGCTTTAAATTAGAGTGCCCCGCTTCCGTTTTCACTCTCTTCATAATGAATCAAAAAAGCATTCTCCCACCAAAGATTCTCTCGATGGCAATATTCATTGCAATCAAAGTTCATTTCCAAGGTGTGTTAATCAACAAACCTTTTGTTACTCTGATGGTATTCATCACGTGCTCGGGAATATTTACTTTGATGGTATGTCGCATAAGGAATTTGTTGGTTTTCTTGAACGATTCACACAAGAGAAGTGTGAAAAGCTTTATTATTGTATGTCGGATTTAGAAATCCCAAAGGGTTTAGCATTGATTTCTAATGAAGTTGAATACCAACAGTTTATAGAGATTGGTTATCAAGGTGGAGTAAACGTGCCTGTATACATGGACCATTTTGGTACTAATCTATTAGTATTCTCTAATGGAGTAAGTAAGGAAAATGAAATTGAGGAAAATTGTTCTGTTATGTCAAACATGTCAATGGAAATGGAAGATGGTGTTGACCTAACTTAGTTCATGAGTCCACAGAAGAGAAACATGGAAGGAATAGCCTATGATGGAGTAAGTCGGGAAAATGGAAATGGGGATGCCATAGAAGTTGAAGTCCCAGAAGATGATAATGTCCGAGATGTGAAAGGTACAGTTAGGTTCAATGAAGAAATACCTCGGAAGAAGCTGTTGCCACTTCTAGGTTTGAGGTTTACCAATCCTAAACAATTGAAATTCTTTCTTTGTAATTATGTTGTAGCCAATGGGTACCATTTGTACTTTGAAAAAATAACAGTAAAAGATTATTGGTTAAGTGTTGTAATGGTGTATGCACATTTAGGCTATGGGCTTCATGGATAAGTGAAGAGCATTCATTCCAAATCAAGTCCCTTATTAATGATCATTATTATGCTAGGAATTTTAAATTACGGTCAATTGTTAATTATAGATGGATTGGTAGTCATTTCACCAGGGAAGTTCTTAAGAATGAGAAACTCAATGTTATGATGCTAAAAGAAGAAGTAAAAACTAAATGTGGCATATAGGTGATTATGAGACAATGTAGGAGAGCCAGGAAACATATAGTGTCTCTTGTTGAAGGTACCATAATAAAAAATACTGCAAAGTTATGGTCCTATGGTGAGGAGATAATAGGTCTAATCTAGGGTCAACAGTTAAGTTGTCTGTAAACTCTATGCCAGATGGGAAAACCTATTTTAGTAGGATATATATATATATATATATATATATATATATATATATATATATATATATATATATATATATATATATATATATATATATATATATATATAGTCCGGATCCGGTAGGAACCCAAAAATTGGTAGGAACCGCAAGGACTATTCTCTACCAATCATTTCGTCAAGGCACAAACGTCAAACCATTTACTTGAAGATAGTTGGGTTTTTTTTTAAACTAAATATCGGTTTGAGTTTTTTAATGTTTAATAATTATAAAACTTTAAATAAGAAGAATATTAAGGATCACAATATTTTCATTCGTACTTTTTTTAATCATATTATTTTTGGATCATAAAGTTTTGAATCATAATTATATTATGCATCATACATTTTTGGATCATATTAAGTTGGATCATTTTAATTTGGATCACAATTTATTGAATTAAATAAAGTTTTTATTCAATACAATATTTTGATCATTATAATTTTTGAATCATAAAAAATATAATAATTAGAGATCATTAAATATTTGAATCAAAATAACATTAGATCATAACAAGTTAAGGATCATAAACATATTCAATCATAATATTTTTGAATCATAATTATTTTGAATCATCTCTATTTGCATCATATTATATTTAACATTTTTTTAAAAAACTTATAATCTTTTAAAATCAAGTTTCGTGCCTAAAACACCTTATTTTTAATTTTTTTTACAAAGTCATTAAAATAGTGAGTAGAAGTATTCCTTCAATTTTTATAATTTTTGGAGCATTTTTTTTCTAGGTTTTTTTATAAGAATAAAAAATAAAAAAAATATATTTTTTTTTCAAATTTTCATGATTGTGCTCATTTTATAGAGAATTAAATTTTAAGAACTTTGGTTTTTTCAGATTTTTTTTTTCAAAGAAAAAAAAAGTTATGGCCGAAAAACTAAGCAGGTGGAAAAAAAAAACTCATCAGACAATAAGAGCTGGATAATTATCATGTTGGGGGGTGGGGGCACGTGTCACTATCTGGAGAAATAACATGGCCGGATTTTCTTTTTTTTTTCTTTTTTCTTTTAATCTTTTTGCTTTTGTCACTTTTACCCTCAAAACAATTAACCAAACCCCGGAAATTATCAAAATCTCGCAATTAATTACGAAAATGTCATATCATCTCGCGAGATTTTGACGATAAATAAAATCAAATCCTGGCCATTTATTTTTTCAATCTTAAGGCCAAAAATTGTCCTCGTGGTTCCTACCATTTTTTGAGTTCCTACCTGATCCTACTGTCCCCAAATGATGTTTCTTATTTCGATACCACTTTCCACATTTCCTTGGTACATATCTTTCTTGATATAACTTTATTGCATATAGTACCGAATTTACTAGCTTTAGCTCATGACTTTTATAGGAGATTTTTGGATACATGTTATTGCTCCTCCCCAAAGGCCATTAAAAGAAGTCCATGACATAACGACCCTAGTTTTCTATCGTATAATTATCTAGGGATTATCAGAGTTATCTTTAAAAATTTGTGGAATTCCATTAACTCATAAAAATAAAACATATTACATACTGGGGTTAATTTAGGGTTTATAATAAAACCAATCTATAATTGAATAACAAGGAAAATACAAGGAAATAGAACTATTCTTATAGTCTAGTCCTTGTGCTCTTGTCTTCTCATGTACCACGACTGCTATTAGAACCTGCAAAACATGAAAATCTACATACATCAGACCTGTGGTCTGATGAGTTTTATTCTATATTTTTTTCATGTTAATCTACTCTTCTTCTAACTTTTTCTTTCTTTACACACTCTAACTTTCTTTTCTTTTCTTTCTCATACTTTTCAATCTAATCTCTTCTTCTCATACTATATATTCTTACTCATTATGTCTATCTCTTATATGCTTTCTCATGCCTTCTCATCTCCTCTATCTCATACTCTACCTTCTATCTTCTATAATCTTTTCTCCTTATCTCGTACTTACTCTTATCCTTTTCTCAGGCTCATCCCATACTCTAGACAAACTATATATTCTCTTTCTTTATCTCTCTCATACTCTTCCTTCTGCATCTCTTTTCTTTTCTCGTACTCCTATTTTCATCTCATACTCTCTCTGTTCTTCTCATACTCTATGTGTGATCTTCTCATATTCTTACTCTTATCTTCACACAACTCTTGATCTCAGCATGGGTATCTTATACTCTACTCACACTTCATATATTTATTCTCAACTTCTCATCCAGACCTAACGATCCAATCTCATATGATAGACTCGTCTACCATCTAATGGAAACAACATCCCACTAATAATATTAGATACACTCATCTAGGCTTACTCCATTCTCTTTTAATCCCTCATGGATTGCTTACTCTTAATCCCTCATGGATTACATCTAAGTTCTTTCAAAGAACTCTATTATCTTGTTCCACACATGGAACCTTTCCTTTACCTCTTCTAGCCACCACAATCTCATTCCTGTAGGATTTGTCTATCTACATTCCCAAATGAATCATAATCTTATTCCTGAAGAAAATCATCATTCTACTCTTCTTAAATTCTCCTTTACACATGTTATTGTCTCACCATAGCCTTACATAGTACTTTTCAGATGGACATTCTATCTCTTTATCCCATCAAGAGATCTTTTACTACTTATCTAGTACTTAACTCATTAAGTAGTTAACTCTATCTCCATCTCATCTACATAAGTATTCTATAGAATGCCATTTACAACTACACATACATACATACATACTCATTTATATGATTATAATGCATATAATCATATTTTATCTCTTTCTACCGTCTCTTAGGTATTTAGAAAATACCGTGATCATCTAACCATACATACTCTAAGTATACGTACATGCTCAAATACATGATTTTAAACGTATAACTAGAGTCTATATCCATCTAATAACTTGAGGGAATTCACTTAGTGCCTCAAGACCCAACATACATGCACATAATATATATATATATATATATATATATATATATATATATATATATATATAATAAAACATATAATCATTATTGAGAGAGGGGGAGATAGGAAGTGTGAGAATTATAACTCACCTTGTTAGTTAGTGATGATTAACTACCATTGGCTTTATTCTTTAATTGGTGCATCTTGATCCATCTTCTTTGCTCGAGGCGTATTCATACACATAATCAAGTTGCATAAAACTTATCTTAGCCTATTAAGAGCTTAATGATTCTCTTGGTCAAAAAATGACCACTTAATGGATCATAATTCTATCTTCTAAATTTCTACTTCTTAAGTTATTCCAACTAATGAATTAAGCATCCTATACTACCTAATTCACTACAATCTAATCTATAATGCATTCATTCACTAATGTCACCAGTTAGGGTTTCATACCTTAACTCTCAATGGATTGATTTCACCATGAACATCACTTCCACGGCTTGATTAAAGCTTCTAGATACCGTTAATAACATTATAATCAAGCTATAGATTGATCAATTCAACCATTCTAACCAAACATCACATTTACCATTAAAGCTTAAAGCTTAAGAAAATGGAGAATTCATTAAATTAGGAGTGTAAGTATATTAAACCCTTGTTAGGATCCATCTACAGCTCAATCTATCTCTTTCTCAACCTCAAAATCGCCTCTTATATGCTTTCCCCGACTATTGTAACGCCCGTAGATCCGGGCTAGTCGATTTAGAGATAATAGGGGTCGAAAACGACTTTTCGACAAAAGATTATTTAGAATAAATAATCTTAACCAAGTTGTAGAATATGTCTCAAGGTTTCCGTACATATAAAGAACACCTAAATCCTAGTTATAACGAAGAAGTTATGACCCGTCGAAGTTTTACGGCAAAACCGGCACGGCACCGGGAAGCGTAAATAGTGAATTTACGATAGAGCGATATTTTGCCTTAGCGATCTAAACGAAAGTCATAGAATACGTTAAACCGAGAGCGTCCATAAAAAGAACGCCCAAATCTGACTTCGTATGAGGAAGTTATGATTTTTCGAAGTTTCGGCTTAGCGGTGTACAACCCGAAATTCGAATATTAGAACGAGCGGTTTTTAGCCGACACAACCTAAACGAGAATCGAAGATCTCGTTATTTGTAGTGTAATGATAAAAAGATAGACGAAAACGGACGTCGGATGAAGAAGTTATGAATTTTTAACGGACCAATCCTGTCCCGGCCTGTTAAAAATATAACATTTAAAATCGAGTCAAAATTAGCCGACGGAGTCTAAACAAAAGTTGTAGAGTACATTCCCGCCTACGCGTGGATATAAAGAATGTCGAAAACGAAGCTCGTATGCGA